CATAAAAAAATGAATTTTAAAACAAGCAGTCAAACTATATTATCTTTAGTTACGGCCTCAGTTGTGGTATATACTGTTCGAAAAAATAGATCGGGTGTACTTCACGTATAAGATCCTTCCGCACAGCATCTGGGAGCAGAGAAGACGAGTTCTCTATAATGGAGGTTTTTCGTTTCTTTGTAGTCAGCGCAAGGCATCTTTTGTCGTGTCCACCATGGATATCGAAACCCGGTTTTTGGCTTTACTAATGCAGAAGACAAATTTTACGGAAACTCGCTTAAGATCACTTTCATTCTCCTGAAATAACTTTTTACTAAAAAGTACGGTAGGTTCGTTTTGTTTCTGTCTACTACATTCGACATATTAGCGCAAGCAGGACAAAGCTCAACATTTATTTTCAGATATTTACACGAGTTAAAAGTATTTAACGTAGTTTAAGAAAATGGGTAAAAGCCAAATAGTCCCAAAACTGTTAAGGTATTTTTTTCTTCCAAGAAATTCTGTGGTGGGCAAGGGGAAGAGGTAATTTGTCCAATATTTTTTTTTTCCTCGATTCGGCTTTTTCTGTTTAAAAGAAGTTAGAATGTTAATGAACTGTAACGAAGTAGTTTAAATAGAAAAAAAGAAGGAACGTTGAAAACTGGAACCATTCTTGAAACTGGCTTTTTTCTAGATCCTTTATTAATATACAGTGTTTGTCCGCAAATTCCTCTCACAGTTTGGAGTTAGCAGGACCAAACTTGGTAGGCAGACTTGGAGGATCTGGAGGGTGCCCTTAACTATATGGCGTAGCCCCCCCTACCAAGAGGATACAAACTTGGCAAACGTACTCAGAAGCCACGGGCGTGTATCCTGGGGAGGAGGGTCGAGTAATAATATACACGTAATTAGAAATGATGGAGGAGCTTTATCGGAACATGCCAGTCAAATCAAAGTTACATTTTTATTTTTTTTTATACTCCAACTGTCTCTACCTTGTTTATTTTCCTAAAACTGGAAGGTTACAACACCACCATCCCTCTAGATTAACTTGGAAACTTATCTGGTGCCCCTTACCATCCTTAGTTGTACCTTCGAATGGCCAGATACGCAAAGTCAACATCTAGCCAGATCTTACCTTTACAAAACACCAAATACGTCTAGCTACTGATGCAATATTACAAAGTGCTGCGTAGTCTAGGGGCGACAATTTCTCCAATACGTCACGTAATCAACAAAGACCGAAACGTTTTTAAACAAACGTCACGATAATGTTAAAGTGGTTGCAATCCCGTTTCATTTACCATTACTTGAAACATATCTTGCGAGAAATTATGATTGCGGGGTCCGGATGAAATTTAATTTAAAGTATCGTCGGAGCCATTGTTAGGTGACATTATCAAAATACTTGTTTTAACTTTAATGTAAGAAACTTTCTGATGAAATACAAGGTCATCTCAACTGGTTAAGTCGGAATGACGTGGTTTGTCACATATTAATATTTGTTAATTCTGTGTAATTTTCTTGTAACCTTTCAACTTCTTTATTTCTCTGCTAGTTCTTAGGACAATAATGTTTGCCGCTTGGTGTAGGTAATTCTGTTCATTATATTGTATCTGACTATTTCAACAGCAGGTAGCGCACAGTTTCTGCAATCACTAAAGTAATTTTATTTTTAATTTGGCTATAGGGGGACATGCCAGTTAACCAAAATATTACTCGAATGAAGTAGTCGGAAGATTCTTAATTATTGAGAAAAGTACAACTGATTTATTATTTTAATCAATCATTCTGATACCCTATTTCGGAGTTTATTTTATTATTCCTTTCCTATATAAACACTCGCATAATATTCGATAACGTTTCGGTCCTTTGGAGAACTTTTCCTACCTATTCTTGCGCCATTAGTGGAAAACGCTCTCCAATTCAGTGCGATAATATATTAAAACATTAAACTATCAGCTAACGTGTAGGAATATTCTGGTTTTTTTTTCTTTTAAATTAAAAAAAGGGGGAGTATGTTAGAAAAATTATGATCCTCGGAAAGAATAAGCAGACAGGTGAAGCACGACACAGTTGTTTGCGTTTTAGACACCACGAGCACTTGGAAGTTTGTCAGGATTTGTTACTTTTTTTCATGAGGTTAGTCAACCCTAGGTCTTAGGATGATGACCTCTTGACCCAGATTTTCATTCATACCAACCCCACCGCAGCGAATCCTGCTGATGTTGTGTTTGACTTTTTTTTGTTTTTTTTTTTAGAGTATCATAACCTGTGGCTACAGCCGAACAGCAGTTACATCATAACATTAGAAGGGCATTAATAAACGAATTGTTCCTAGAAGAGAGAAAATTAACACTAACGTAATAATACGAAAATTATATAGATACTAGTTTCGAAACTTCGTTTTCTCTTCAGTTCAGCGTTTCTTATTGTGGATTTCAACTATTTTAGATTGCTATGCATACTGGCGTGTATTTACCTGATATTCGGATGTTCATACTTTATAAGTGATGGAGGTATGTGTGATTGAAAAGTTGCGATTCAAAGACGCAGTAAAAAAAAAAATCACATTACGTACCGTCTTAAAATACCGACTGAAATTGTTTACCGAGAAAATACCTCTGGTCTTGTATAACCAACCACTGAAAACGCTATTAAATAAAAACAAAATCTTCGGAGAACTACGCGCCATCAACTAGAGAAATACAGACGCACCTAACGCCACGATCTCCACGGCAATTGGTCACAGCAGTCACGTGTGCTCAAGCTCTGGCTCTCCATCCCGAAGCCGCTTGTTCCCTATTCCTTTGGAATGTTTAAGCCATTTTCAAACAGCTATTTTACCATAACTATGTTTTTATTAATACTTCTTATCCGAGTTCTAATTACCCGAAGAGTTTGTTTTATGATAATTCTACGATAACGCGTATTGTTACATGATAAACTGACCTGACCGTTTTGAAGAAAATTCACAAGGTTAAGAAGGGGGATTTTCCCAAGCGGGGTATTTTGATGTATCCTTGGTCATAACAGGCCTTTACAAGCAAAAATAAATCTTGTACTACTCGAGAACTTTACAATGACTTGTGTTATTGTTCTTAAGCTAAAGGTATGCCACAGAATACCTGAATAACAAGTATATCTAATAATATGCAACTGGAGTTCAACAGAAAGAAAATCAGATCGAGGTAAAATATAAGGCCAACGTAACACAATGGAGGCAACTATTGACAAAGCTTACAAACACAAGGAAAAATAATGTTCATTTGGACTTCATGTAAATGCTCGGTATATGACAAGCAGAACTGTATAATTAAAGATAATGAATTAAGTTATAATTCCATTCATACGCTAATACATAAAATAGTTCAAGTTACCAAAAGTGCAGTCAGTTACGTCCTCGTCCCACGGCGTCCTGAGCTATTCTGAATTTCTGATCCAGCAGCCTGCTATATCTCGCTTCAAAGCTCGAGCAGCTTGACTCATTGGACAGGCCGGTAGAGGTCTCTGAGCTACTGCCAGCATGACAGAGCTTTCAAGACGAGATGAGAACAAGTCCATGCTGACTCAGATTTCTACCTCACGCTATTAGAAACTCGAAAACTAATAAACAGATCTCACAATAAGACTGCGTAAAGTCTCACCCATGATGTTCCACATACCAACAGTGATGTTATCTTTTCCATCAACCACCATCCCGATGGTTCTAGAAGATTAGCATCTAAAGGCTCCAATAAGTTGTATAACAAACTGACCCAACGCTATAAAAAAAATCAGAACCGAAAAAACGAACAAAAACGTAGCTGCTATTTTCAGGTTGGACTAACTTCAGAAACTAAATGTTCCACGATCAATTACAGAAATATTAAGTTCGACCAATCAAAAAAATGCATTAGGCCTTCACGTCACAAAACAAATTAACATATATACAGGGTGGACCAAAAATAATGTATCAACATTTCGAATGCTCATATGAACCTACATGCCAGTAAAACGTCTTTATTAACGTTTCACGCAACAATTGTACATTGATTGCTGCATCATTGATTGAGGTGCTCAAACTACACAGTTTTCAACTCTGATTCGATGGAAACCATTCGTTACTTAAATTCGTCAGTGGTTTTGGATTTATTTTTAGACATCCTCCAATATTATCGGAAATAAAACAAACGTTTAGAATCGATAAACAAAAGTTGCATAACTTAAAGGATGGATACATATTTTGGGCCACCACGTATACACATACACAATCATTAAGCAGTTGATCTGCTATATACTTTCGAATAATGAAACCGACCAAACGTCATAACATTATTCTCATACTTAAATTAATATAGGTTACTATATGGTGAAGTAAAGGGATTCGAATCTCCAGAGATATTAAGTTCCTTCGTGACTTTTTTCTTATAATATTATAAATGAAGATTAATAAGCAAGTACAATAA